TGGATTTATCTCTGGGCTTTCTATTCTGTTCCATTGATCTATATTTCTGTCTTTGTGCCAGTACCATACTGTCTTGATGACTGTGGCTTTGTAGTATAGTCTGAAGTCAGGCAGGTTGATTCCTCCAGTTCCATTCTTCTTTCTCAAGGTTACTTTGGCTACTTGAGGTTTTTTGTATTTCCATACAAATTGTGAAATTATTTGTTCTAGTTCTGTGAAAAATACCATTGGTAGTTTGATAGGGATTGCATTGAATCTATAGATTCATGCTAAGGTTTCTAGATAACAGCATTCTTGTCTGGTACCTGGCTGACTCTGGCTGCCTGTCCCCTTCTGCCTTTCAGCATTCATGTTTAAATATACTGTGGTAGTTAAAACCTTGAATTCTGAGCCAGACTCTCTAGATTTAAATCCCAGCTCTGCCACTTACTAGCAGTATGATTGTGGCAGATTACTTAATCTGTTTGTACCCAGTTTCTTCATCTATAAAATGTGTATAATAATTATACTAACCGTATAGAGTTCTAATGCCTGAGTAAGTCAGTTTATATAACTGTGGTTTTTGTAAAATGCTTAGAACTTTTCCTGGAGTGTGGTAAGCATCAAGTCAGTGTGGTATGTGTACTACTACTGCTACTATTACTACTTCAGAGAAGTAAATGTTCCAGGCCAGTCTCCCCCAGCTCCTCCTCCCTGCCTCATCTTCTGCCCAGGTTCCTTAGTCTCAGCCTCTTCCTTAGGAGTGTCCATCGCCCTTCCTTTCATTTCCTCAGTTTCCTTTCATTTTCTTAGTTCTGCATTTGTTTGGGGGCCCTTAGCCAGCTGATGACTGAGAAGACAGTTGAATCGATAATTATCCTCAGCAGCTTACTGTCACCACTATTCGTTCTCTAGAAAGTTCCAGTGACTAAGGGAGCAACTCTCACAGGTTGGAAAGTGAATTATAGACCTTAACGAGAATTCTAGGGTAGCTGGGAGAGGAGCATGAACTGTTTGCCAAGCCTACTTAGCCGGAAGACTAGGGTAGCTGGGAGAGGAGCATGAACTGTTTGCCAGGCCTACTTAGCCGGAAGAATGATCATCTTTGGTGTCACGTACCAGATGTTCGTGCTGGTTAGTTCTCTCTAAGTTCTACCAAGACGTAGAGAACAGATCTGGTGCCTTTAGGGGCAGTGTGACTCCTAAGACTTCGTGGAGAAATGACACAGTTCTTTCAGAAGCTGGGCCTTGAGGTCAGCTTGTGGGCTGAACAGTGGATGGGTACTTGCATGTCAGGAATATCTGTAGCTCTTGTAGTCCAACCAGGTAAGACCCCTCAACCCATTTGTGCTCCGTGAGTTCTCTGGGCCCTCTCCACATGCAGGAACCAGGTTGGTGGTTGGATCATATCTTCAACACCTACTACACTTTCACTTGATAATGTGTTTTACAAAGAAAGGAGACTATGCATCCCTCCTCTTATTTTAATGGAGAAAGCAAGATAAGCTTATGCCAAGGAATAGAAACACATAAGCTGGTGATGGTGATGATACTATGATGGTGAGACTGCATATGATCTGCATCTGCTCACCCCTTCAACTAACTTATCACCACTTCCCCACGTCCTCTACACTCCATCCAGCCTGAACAACTTGCAGTGGCACTAGCCGGCCACGGCACCTCTTCTGCAGGCCTTAGCACATGTGCCTGCTCTATCTCTCTCCCCAGCCCCCACCTGGCTGGTTCCTGTTCATCCTTCAGGTGTCAGCTTAGCTGTCCCTTCCTCTAGTGACCAAACTGAGTTAAATGCCTGTCTTTTGCTCCACAGCACCTGGTACTCCCCTGTCATAGTACTTATCTCACTGAATTGAAATGGTTTTAAATTCCAGTGGATTTCAATTCCATCAGGGTAGAGACTGTCTTCTCTTGTGTTTTCGCTGTCTAGCACTGGACAGCGAGTAGGTGCCCAATAAATATAGTATTTGTTGAATGAATAAGTCAGCAGTGCTTTCACTTCTCGTTTTTTCATTTGATCCTCACAAAAGCCTTGTTGATGTAGGGAGCTGGGGGCCTTACTCTGGCCTTGTTTTGTATATGAAGAAACTGATCCTCAGAGAAGCTAAGCAATTTACTAAAGCTCACACAGTGTTAAGAGCCAGGACTTAAAAGGATGTATCTCAGACACAAGTGTTCAGTGCATTATTTTGGAGCTTTGTTTCACAAAACTTTTTCCTTTTAAAAAATAATATTTATAAAGATAAAAATTAAAATGGTATTTGTTGTTTTTCATAATTATAAAAATGATATATTCAAGGCACCAGAATTCCTGAAATGTTTTTTTCTCCACTGAAAAGAAATGCAAAAAGGCAAAATGGTTGTCTGAGGAGGCCTTACAAATAGCTGTGAAAAGAAGAGAAGCAAAAAGCAAAGGAGAAAAGGAAAGATATTCCCATTTGAATGCAGAGTTCCAAAGAATAGCAAGGAGAGATAAGAAAGCCTTCCTCAGCAATCAATGCAAAGAAATAGAGGAAAACAACAGAATGGGAAAGACTAGAGATCTCTTCAAGAAAATTAGAGATACCAAGGGAA